CGTAATAAATAATAATTCTAAATCAATAGATATCGATCAAATTCACGGTTGAACGCAGATTCTAGCCAAAAATAGTTCTGCACCGATGGGGCGTTAATAAGCTTTCGTTATCGCTTTTCGAGCCAGCGATCTCGAATCGGCACCGAGCGATTAAAAAATGCAAGCAAACGAAAGAAATGAAGGTGACGGGCAGAAAGGGCGACGTTACAGGATCATGAAAGAAACCAGCCCTGAGCGATTTTCATACAAATTCCCGAGCAGCCGGTAATCATAGGAAAATTAAGGTCATCCATCACCCACGGGGCTCATTCTATTCCACCGGCTCACTTAATAGTATTCTGCTGAGCGACGTAATTTCACTCCGCGCGTATGCGAACCGAGAAACCTGAAGAAAGATCGACGGAAACGCGCCTTAACGTTTCAACCAAAATTTACGGGTCTGCGATAAATATTTGAATATATTGCCTTCTGTAAGCGGTGTCCCTGCATTGAAATGCGGAGGTTTTTACAAGAATTTATGATCGGTTTGTGAAATGGTTAGACTTTGTATACAGGTGCAAGACTGTTTCTTTGAATCAAAGAATGCATTTCTAGATTGCGTTTGACTTCAGAATTCAATGATTTGTAAAGAACAATTATTTTAATGCGTCTTGTACGCCTGAAGACGCGTGTTGATGCAAAGCTGCAAGTAGAATAGACGTACATATGAGTAGACGTGTTGGAGGTGCTCAGAAGGATGAATAAGTTAGTATATTCCTAGAACAGCAATTTCTTTACGGTAGAAAGGTTTTTGAAGAAGCCTCTGTCTTCATATAAGCCTTTGTATGTCACATATGTATGTCACATATGCATGTTACGAGACTCTATGTGAAGTACATGTGTGCATGATAATACGTGATGTAGATATCAGAATGCACTGCTTGAACCGTATTTCAATGCAAAGTAATACACAAGTTCATATATGAACTCAACAATTTTTATTACATATGTTTTCACGTACGTCCACAAAATAAATATGCACATGTATCTCACGTGTATCTAACTTAATACTGAACGAGTACATATGAACGATTTTGCACCTGATGTACATTCCCGTTCGTTAAGCAGCCTAACTTGAGCAATATCACATGTGTCTCCACGTATGCGTGCAACATAGGTGTACATATATGTATCTGTAATATACCACGTGTGTAACTAGCCTAACACTAAACAAGTACATATGAAGTACATGTATCATGTAGCTATCTCATTTCTGTTTGTTTAACCCAAACATATTCCAACTTGAGTAACATCATCATATGTGTTCACGTATGTGACATGAGTATACATGTATCTCATGTGTGCAGGCCGCGAGCTGGCTTAATACTAGACAGGTAGATATTCATGCAGTTGTTTCAGATTCTTGTTTATTTCGTCTGAGTGTAGGGTAACTTGAACAACATCATGTGTGCTCATGTATGCAACATACATGTATCTCATATGTGTAGTCACGTGAGCTGGCTTAATACTAGATAGGTAGACTTTCATGCAGTTATTTCACATTGCTGTTTATTTCATCTAAACATTACCTAACTTGAACAACATCGTCATATGTGTCTATGTATGTAACATATATGTGTGCAAGTATACATGTATCTCATATGTCTAGTCATATGAGCTGGCTTAATACTAGATGAGTAGACGTTCATGCAGTTATTGTATATTCCTGTTTAGTTCATCTGAACGCAGCCTAACTTGAACAACATCATATATGTCCACATATGGCTGTAAGATAAGTATCCCTAGTACATATATGTACATGTATCTCCATGTGCGGCTCAATACTGAACGAATACGTCCTCTCAACTGTCCAACATTCCCGTTCATTTAATCTAAACTCCTTACAATATCTTTCGCAACAAGCACCCGCCATTTCTTCCGTCCATTCCGCTAACGGGCAAACTTGAAGGGTGTTTTTCGTATTTTCCATGAGTCTATTCGCACGGCGCTTTTAGTCAGACTACGACAAGGGAGCCGGTGATAAATCGTTCAAGTTTGAAAAATAAAGCGGCCAGAACGAAAGAAGGATGACCGTAATGAACGGCCCGGTGAATGCCGAATGTTTGCGCTTCCACACCGAGGAAACTTTACTAACAGGCGCCGAATACACTCCGGACTTCATGACCGTTTATTAAGCTTTCCTGCACCTTTCTTTTACCATAGAATCGAGAAGAAAGCGGCGAAAGCACCAGGCAATAATTTGCGAAATTATCGCTGCAACGTTACTTTCCTAGCAGTTTTTCAGCGAAACAGCTTCAACGGGCTAAGTGCTGCTGCGCGAGCCGTGATACATCGAGGCCTTACGGCGATGAACGTCAGATTGTGGTTATCTATGGCCAGCTGCACGAAAGCAAGTATCGAAAAGCCATAATGCGTATTCCTATAGCTTATCGAGTTCGCCGGAAATTATTGTTGTTCGTACAATGGCTGAAAGTTTCGACGGACGGTTATTTTCAACTTACTCAAATATGGAGTCGCGGTAAATTCCTGGTCATCGATATGCACCTCTCACTATTTGACACGATGGTAGAATAGGAATGAAGAAAATAGTTGGACTATGGAATAGTAAGTTGGACTAGTAAATAAGGGTGGAATAGTAAGTTAGTATGAGAATAGTAAGTGAATAATTGTTATTGGAACATTGTGATCGAATTTTCCAAAATTTTCTTCTCTTAATTTCTGCGATCGATTAAAAGCGTTCGACGTGGGCTCGAAAATTTATTTCACGTCTCTTATAATGCGCGACCAGTTCAGGATGATGGACGGAAACTGCTCAAGCTCAAAGCACTTCGGTACGCGGCTTGCATTCGCGTTCTAAGCTCTACTTAGACTTCGGAACGAAGAAAAGAGCGATGGGTGGGGCGGAAAAATTGTCAGAACTTTTGCGGAGCTTGTCGAAGGCCTTTTTCGCTCGCGAACTTCGTCCGCTATCTTGGTCGATGGGGGTGGACGAGGGTGATTCGGTAGACGCCATCAGAAACAGTAATTTTTCTCTACAGATAGATAGCTGGGTACAGTCGAGAGCAAATCTATGTTTCTGTTCGAAAATGGTAATGTAGGAATTTGGCAATCTAGAAATTCGATAATTTAGAAATTGAGATTTGAACACATGTCATAATTTACTCAAACTTCAGCGACATAGGGATATTCTTAAAACTTTAATGAATGTCATAGAGAATTTATACAAATACTTTTCTTCAAACGTATTAATTAATACGTATATTTTGTCCATCATAAAATATCAAAGTTATCTTAAATCGATGTAATTAATAAATTCTCCTGTACAAATTCTTCAATCCCAATTTAATATGACAACGAAAAATATTTAATATCTGCGTATCGAAACTCATTTTCAGTAATACGTTTCCCACATGTACATTCCACACATGTGTAAATAATTAAAAAATCTTGTACCGCGTTATTCATTCGATGCAGAAACACGGTAATACATCAAACAATGTTACGAATATCCTTTGTTATCTAGATATTGAAAATGGTTTCGTTAATGTAATAACGTGATAAAATCCGTTAAAAACGATGTTCGCGCACGTGGTCAGTAACATTAATCAAAAATATTTTTTAATCACTAGGAACGAACGGATAGTATTCTTCTTTTGTTTCGTTCTTTTAATTAAATTAACATTGTTCGGGACGGTGTCGTGGGTAAAATACGTTTCGTCAGTCTGAAAATTGTTATTGTGATAAATCTCGTTCGGAATTCGTTCTAGCGGATTTTTTTCATGCGTAAAACAATCCATTTCTCGTTGCACGTGCCACTTGATATGGAAGCCGTAACAACAAATGGAAAAAACATGGTCGGTGTTCGGCGATGGTGTCCAAGCTTCATTATTTAGAGTACATTCGATCGATTCTGGTGGACCAACAACCAGCAAATACTGATTCTACATTGTATCGTTAACGAGACGCTTCTGCTTAAAGATGACACCTTTCGCTTATTCTTTGATTGTTAATAAATATGTTAATTTAGGGCTTGTTAACTATTTTAGTAGTTTGGGCTTTGTGGATAGATTTCTAATTTGTAGATATTATAATTTATAAGTTTTCAAATTTATGTATTTTCAATTTTTCAATTTTTCAATTTTTCAACTCTTCAATTTTTCAAATCTTCAATTTTTCAACTCTTCAATTTTTCAACTCTTCAATTTTTCAACTCTTCAATTTTGCAACTCTTCAATTTTTCAACTCTTCAATTTTTCAACTCTTCAATTTTTCAACTCTTCAATTTTTCAACTCTTCAATTTTTCAACTCTTCAATTTTTCAATTCTTCATTTTTTCAACTCTTTAATTTTTCAACTCTTCAATTTTTCAAATCTTCAATATTTCAACTCTTCAATTTTTCAATTTTTCAATTTTTCAACTCTTCAATTTTTCAATTTTTCAGTTCTTCCAGTTTTCAGTTGTTCAATTTTACAATTTTTCCAGTTTTCAGTTGTTCAATTTTACAATTCTTCCATTTTTCAATTCCCCAATTTTTCAATTCTTCAATTAACCTCTAACACTATTTTGACAAGTCTGACTCGTGACGCACTCATACTTCGGCTATGACCAATTTTACTCGAATTTTCAATACATTTCAATTTGGAGTTCAATTATAATTTGCATAGTCAACGACTGCATGATACCACATTGACATAACATTTTAAGTTTCTGTGTTTGTTTTCATTTTATGGCTGAAATTAGTCAGTTTTGACTGACACACTTGACAAAAACATCATAGTGCAAGGGGTTAAATAAATAAATTCTCTATGACACATAAAGCTTGAATAAATTCCCAACAAAATGTATAAAAGATTTGAATAAATGACATTTATTAAAAAACGAAGTCGCGTCATATTTTTTAAAATATAAACTCCTAACAGATTTATGAGAATATGAAGTAGCCACATTTCAGTAAATCCCAAAGATCCCATAATATTTATTAAGGTATAAAGTTACTTACGCTGTGCCATTATGTCGTCCAATGGAGATTAATCGATATATTTGCAGCTCGACCCGTTGTCCAGTGTCAGGCACGAACCTGTAGGTACATCTGGAGGGTCCTTTAAGGGAGGGCGACTTTATTTGTCCGAAACCGCGATCCGATTTGCTGAACAACTGTCTGCTGTCCAACGTAATGTTGCACACTGAAACACGTAAAATAGAACAATGCATGAAACCCGGTGAAACGAGAAATTCCGGAGCCCAAAAGATTGAACAATTTCGAGCTATCCATTTTAGATTTATCCAATTACGGGGCAATAAATTATTCGCGGTTAATATTATCGACCACCGCGATAATCCGGCCCAGATTAAGCGTAATAGTAACGGAAATAATGTTTTACCGCTCGATTGAAATGCGGCATCGCTAAATTGTTTGCCACCCTTCTATTCGGCCCGCGTATAATTAATAGATTCGTTCGACCGGACGAGTGATTCGATTCGACAGCTGTGGTCTTTAAACTCGTCTAATCTATGTGAAACTTGCTTTTCACGATGGTTTTTGGATTTGGCAATCAGCCTTCGCTTGCAAAAAACTCATTTCCAGGGTACACCTGTTGCACGACCACCGATCAAAAAACTTACCTTCATGCTTCACCGGTGTTAATTAAGTGCGCGTACGCTAAGACACCGATATAAACCTCTCGTGGGGAAACTGTTTTCTACGACTTTTTGTTTAATGTTTACTGGTATGGCAAGGTTAAGCGATCTAACCAAACTCGTGTTTATTCATTTGGAAATTATGTTCCTTTATTTGTTTCAAAGCTACATTAATTTTTTTGTTGTATTTATTCGTTTAGAAATTATATTAATTATGGATACTATATTTATTTGTTTCAAAATTACATTAATTATTTTTATTATATTTATTTGTTTCAAAATTACATTAATTATTTTTATTATATTTATTCGTTCAGAAATGACATTCGTTATGCTTATTATATTTATTTGTTTCAAAATTACATTAATTATTTTTATTATATTTATTCGTTTAGAAATGACATTCATTATGTTTATTATATTTATTAGTTTCAAAATTACATTAATTATTTTTATTATATTTATTCGTTCAGAAATGACATTCGTTATGCTTATTATATTTATTTGTTTCAAAATTACATTAATTATTTTTATTATATATATTCGTTTAGAAATGACATTAATTATGTTTATTATATTTATTCGTTTAAAAATGATGTTAATTATTTTTATTATATTTATTCATTTAAAAATGATATTAATTATGTTCACTACATTTATTCGTTTAAAAATGATGTTAATTATGTTCACTATATTTATTCGTTTAAAAATGATGTTACTTATTTTTATTATATTTATTCATTTAAAAATGATATTAATTATGTTCACTATATTTGTTCATTTAAACATGATGTTAATTATTTTTATTATATTTATTCATTTAAAAATGACATTAATTATGTTTATTATATTTATTCGTTTAAAAATGATGTTAATTATTTTTATTATATATATGTTCATTTAAAAATGATATTAGTTATGTTCGCTATATTTATTCGTTTAAAAATGATGTTAATTATTTTTATTATATACATATTCATTTAAAAATGATATTAATTATGTTCACCATATTTATTCATTTAAAAATGACATTAATTATGTTCACTATATTTTGTTCCTCTAAAAATGATGTTAATTATTTTCATGACATTTATTCATTTAAAAATGTCATTCATTATATTCACTATATTTATTCGTTTAGAAATTACACTAATTATTTTCGTTATATATATTCATTTAAAAATGACATTAATTATGTTCATTATATTTATTCATTAAATTTAAATTGAATTTATAAAACACTTTCATACCGCGAAAAGTAGCTGCATATTTATTAGCGGAGTTAAGAGGATAAAACGTGAAAGTTTAGCGCAGTTGGTAAAATATCCCCAACGAGCTGTTAAGACTGTTCGCGGTGTACGAGGAACAGAAAGGAAACAATTTTATCTGCCATTGTATCACGAAGGATTCCATGTTGAGACCCAGGATCCCGAACGAAGAAGCATTTATTCGACGTGTTCGTTGGTCGACCACGCGGAATCCGGGTCACGTGAAAGCGCAACACCACCGTGAAAGAAAAATGCTGCGTCGCTTATAACGATTTTTCTTGCTTACGTCGAGCCGTCGACGCCCGTCGAGGCGAGACGAACCTTCGTCTTTTCATCCGAGGCGACGAACAGTCGCGTCGATGCGACACGCGTTTCTCGCTCGATTCACCCGATCGATTTAGAATTTTTTTATTTTTTGTTAAATATTGTGGGACCTAATATTCATTCTAGGACCTGACAAAATAGTTTGAGGGGGAAAAGGATGGAGTTAGAAGCACTGGATTTTATATTTGACATTCGACCTTTTACTTAAGGAGGAAGAAGTACTCTAATTGCATCCCCTTTCGGTGGCTCATGCTCTTAACCTAACATTATTTCATAGATCAGAGATATGTAAGCAACCCTTTGCAGTTGAAAATTAAGAATAACTTGGAGGTGAAAGATGACCACTTGGTTTAATAATTTGAAATAACTTCTCAAATTTTCTCATATTTACCAAATCTTGTAATACTTGAATAGATATTCACTGTACTAATTAAAAGCACTGAACATTACATACAGACATTTCTATCAAAATTTTCACAAAAAATGCTCATTTATTTGACTAAATATTCACCACGAATACCAAACAAATATCACCGAATTATATCCCCAAAAATATCTATAAAAATATTGACTCTAAACGTTCGAAACCCTCTGACTCGATAAACAGCGGCTTTCGGTAAGAGATCATTCTGTTTGTACAAAGATTTCGAATCGATTGGTCAAATATTTGAATTAAATTCGGTTAAATGCACTTTTAATTTAACCCGACACTCTACTGCGTTTTTCATCGAATTTTTCGCTGAAAATTCATCGAAACATGTTTTCTATAGAATGTGTTCAATTAACTTGAACAAGACCTGAATACAGTGTCGGAACGTCGTTCATAACATCTTTTATTACATTTTTCGACTAAAACTTCAATGAAAAATGTAGCGAAGATTGGATAACGTGAGAAGTGAATTTTGTTGAAACTGGTTAATTGAATTTCAGAAATTCTCTTCCGGTATTGTCACGGCTAACGGATGTTCTCGTTTTAAATTTCAAATATGAGGTGTTAATAATTAAACAGTTGTAAGTCATAATTTCATTTTTCAGATGTAACACTGTTTTTCGACGTTAATTTTGAAAAATATTTTTTCAAAAAATTAGGAAGATGAAATATTACAATGTTGTGACGCACTCACGACGCACTTCGAATACGGGATACTAGGTTTGGTTAGATTAGGTTAGGTTAATTCTTTGCTCTACAATGTTGTGACGCACGCACGACGCACTTCTAATGTGAGATACCAGGCTCGGTTAGGTTAAGTTAATCCTTTGTCTTACAATGCCTTGACGCACTCATGACGCACTAGGAATGTGAGATACCAGGTTAGGATGGGTTAGGTTAATTCTTTGCTCTACAATGTTGTGACGCACGCATGACGCACTAGGAATGTGAGATACCAGGTTAGGATAGGTTAGGTTAATTCTTTGCTCTACAATGTTGTGACGCACGCATGACGCACTAGGAATGTGAGATACCAGGTTAGGATAGGTTAGGTTAATTCTTTGCTCTACAATGTTGTGACGCACGCATGACGCATTTTTAATGTGAGATACCAGGTTCGGTTAGGTTAAGTTAATCCTTTGTCTTACAATGCCTTGACGCACTCATGACGCACTAGGAATGTGAGATACCAGGTTAGGATAGGTTAGGTTAATTCTTTGCTCTACAATGTTGTGACGCACGCATGACGCACTAGGAATGTGAGATACCAGGTTAGGATAGGTTAGGTTAATTCTTTGCTCTACAATGTTGTGACGCACGCATGACGCACTAGGAATGTGAGATACCAGGTTAGGATAGGTTAGGTTAATTCTTTGCTCTACAATGTTGTGACGCACGCATGACGCACTAGGAATGTGAGATACCAGGTTAGGTTAGATTAGGTTAATCCCTTGTCTTACAATGTCTTGACGCATTCATGACGCACTAGGAGTGTGAGATACTATGTTAGGTTAGATTAGGTCAATCCCTTGTCTTACAATGTCTTGACGCACTCATGACGCACTCGGAATGTGAAATATCAAGTTAGGTTAATCTCTTGCCCTGCAACACCGTGACGCACTTATGACGCACTAGGAACGTGAGGTAACAGGTTTGTATTTTTATTGCGATTAAATTTTGTGTTCAATGTCAATTGTAATCTGCCTAAACTAACAATAATTAACTAGCGAAAATTGTAGATCAAGTGGTTAATATATCTATAATAATTTAAGAACGTTCAATGACTACAAAACACCCCAACAAATAAAAATATTCATCGCGTTGGGTGATCACCGTAAAAACCGTAAAAGTAGGGAGCCATTAAGGGTTGTTCGCAATGATTAAATGGTGGGTGTACGTTTCGCCGGTGCGTACAAGAAGTACTCAAAGAAAGGTTTGATGGATGAGACGTAAGGGCAATAACGTCTCTCGTAATTAACGCGAGAGAAAGGGTGGATAGGGCGCTGGGAAGCGTTGACGTAATTAGTTAGCGAGAAGAAAATCCTTCAAATGTCGGCCGTTAATATCGTTCCTGAAAGAATCGTTCCCAAACACGTCAGGATAGTCGCAGACAACCGTTGCCTTTTTTTTCTTTCTCCCGGCGGAGAGAAAAAGAAGAAACTTCTGATCCATAATCCAGCGGAGCAAAGGGACTTCATTCGAGACAGCTTTAATTTCCATTTGTTCGCGCGACGGAAAACGCGAAACGACGATGAAAAGGGAGTCGAGGGGTTAGCTTAATGGCGCAAATCCTATTTCTAGACGACGATCCAGACTCAAAGGGGTAGCGGTTGCCTCTTCGACGTCACGTGATTACGTTCCGGGGGAAGCAAATACGAGTTTGAACGATTGGCCAGGTGAACAGCGAGACGTACTGCTTCGACTGCATGGGTATTGAGTTTCATGTGGATAGCTCTAATTGGAAGTGGCAAGATCAATAATAGATGAGGATAAAATTGTAGAGGAAGGTTCTGCGTTTGTGGGGACATGTGTGGAATTCTGGTGGTCCATATGTGGGAAGGTTTGTCGATATGTGTGGCAAGGTTTGTAGACACAAAATGTGCAGGGAGAAGGTTTATTTTGAGATACGTGGGAAGAAGAAGATGGACACGAAATGTCTGGGAAATAAAAGACTCATATGTGGAGAACAGAACATTTATAGATATGTGGGATGAAGAAGGTATAAAGACACAAGGTACGTAGGAAGGTTTACGGACACAAGATATGTGGGAAGAGATATACACAAGACATCTACAAGTGAAAGATTCATAGAAGATATGTGAGAAGAAGAAAGTTCATGGACACAAGACATGTGGGAAGAGGAAGGTTCATGGACACAAGATATGTGGGAAGAGGAAAGTTTATGGACACAAGATATGTGGGAGGGAGATTTAAAGACACAAGATATGAAAGAAGTAAAGTTTGTAGAGATAAAATATGTGAGATATTCTTTCTGCAGAAACACAGTAATAAATGATAATAGGACATTTGGAAGTATAAAGAATTAAAATAAAATAAAATAAGTTGCCTGAGACAAAGAATCATAATCCATCTAAAAATGTCCACATAATCCGATTTGCAAAGAATAGCCAAATAATTCAATCTCCATTTTCCAAATAACCTTCCATACGGGAGTACTCATACTAATAACCCCTGTCGCCTGTAAAATAAACGAAAAGCTGCAAAAACGAGCATTCGCAGAAACGATGAAAATTAGAAGCGGAGTCAAACACCGTAAATGATTAGCGTTTACGGGTGCAGGTGGTCGCAGCTGCGTCGCTTAATTTGACACGGCGAATATTGGGACTAATGATCATGAAAGGTAATGACGGTACTCACTGTTGGCGCAATGTTGCTCCAATCCGCACTGAGCGCATCTGTCCGGCGATGCAGCGCCGCAACTGCATCCTCCTGACGGGACGCAGCAAGCGCATTCGTTGCTGGACGAATTAAAACTGCAGGCGCAACCCTTGGTCGTTTGTGTCCAAAGATCCACTTGACCTGGAACGAGAGGCGAACAGGGTTAGAGAAACGGTTTTACAGACGGCTCGTATATCTCTCTGAAAGACGCACGCAATTACGAAGCGGTAAACGTGATCCACGGACTTAACGAGCAAGCTTTCATGCTAAGATTCACTGTTTTCAGAAGGTAACGAATGAATGCGTACGAAAATACTGTTCTCGTAATTTTAGTTACTTCTGGTCGCTTTCGAGGAAATCAGCATGGAGTTATTTATTTAGTTATTTATCTGAGACTTTCATCGTTATTCATCATTTTTGTTAGATATGGATTTGATGTGTTTTAGCAATAATTAATAGTGTGGGGAGTTTTATATTGGTTTGGAGTTAGGTTAGGCTACTTGGTGGAGTTAGGTTAGGTTACTTAGTCGAGTTAGGTTAGGTTTAATTTGCTCTGGCTAAGTTAGATTATAGCTCAAGTTATGAATTAAATTATAATTCAGATTGTAAGTTAGGTTATAATTTAGGTTATAAGCCAGCTTACAAGTTAAATAATATTTTATAAATTACGTTATAAGTTAGGCTAGGTTATACTTATAGAAAAATTTAAAGGTTAGGTTAGGTTAGTTTAGTTAAGTAAGTTATAAATTAAATTATAATTCAGATTATAAGTTAGGTCATAGTTTGGGTTATAAGCCAGCTTACAAGTTAAATAATATTTTATAAGTTACCTTATAAGTTAGGTTAGGTGATACTTATAGATAAATTTGAAGGTTAGGTTAGGTTAGTTTAGTTAAGTAAGTTATAAATTAAATTATAATTCAGATTATAAGTTAGGTCATAGTTTGGGTTATAAGCCAGGTTACAAGTTAAATAATATTTTATAAGTTATGTTATAGGTTAGGTTATAAGCCAGCTTACAAGTTAAATAATATTTTATAAGTTACGTTATAGGTTAGGTGATACTTATAGGAAAATATGAAGGTTAGATCAGTTTAGTGTAAGCTAAGTTAAATTGTATTTTGTTAGGTTATTTTAAACTAGATTAAGCTGTGTTTAGATGAAGTTAGGTTAGATTAAATTAAGCTAAATTAGATTCGTTCAGATTAGGCGAATGTATTATTCACATTGGGTTCAAACAAATATAAGTTTCATTATTTTAAAATCTTCAATCCCCATCAATTTTTAAAATGGCTAATTCCTGTCCTTCCACATGCAGAACAGAAAAATTCATAGACACCGAACACTCGACAACAGGTACGTGTCAGATTAAATTCTCGAGCGATCGGCATTCTACTCGAGACAGAGATACGCGTAAATGCACCTGTGGCGTTCAATGATAGGCGAACCTATTCAGTTTACCGTCGTTCACGGACTTCCGTTTGCATCGTGCGGAACTGCTGTTAAGCCGTCCAGAAAATGCAATTCTTCCCGTGATGCTGTGGAACGCGTGGCCTGTCGCGTTTTCCGCGTTCCTTGTACCGATTGAAATTGCAGCTCAAACGGTTTTCCCTGTTCGCGAACCTTTGTGTTACCGTTAGCTCCGCCTCGCCCGCTCGATCCGCCTGTTTCTTGCCCAACATTCCGATCGTACTATTACGTTTTTTTCAATCGCGGTTGCCTTCGTCCGTGCAGCGCCGCGTTCTCTCTTTCGCGCGCTTTTTTCCCGTCCCTCGACGCCGATAAATAGAAACGCGGCGAAAAACAGAGCCGGGAGGCGGAATATAAGCCCCCGGACGGCCGATTGCTCAACGTTTTTCGTGCCGCTCGTTTTTATTTCAATTTCTATCGCGGGCGCCACGACGTCGCGGCTCGCAAACGAATCGAGACAATTAACAAGTTGTCATCCTGCCGGATAACGCCCGCCATTTTGCTCGTGAGACCTGCTACTAGCAAATTGCTGTCTGTTGTCGTCGATAAGTTTGGATTAAATATACGAGGATTATTTTTGAGCTTCTTAACTGTGGATTATGTGTTGACTTGTCATTTTAGAAAATGATAGATGAAAATGTGTGAAGCATTTGTCGAAAGATCTTTGCCTTTCTCTTGTCAAGTATATTGTGTTTAAATGTGCTGGTATCATTTGCAAGACTAAACATGTATGATATTTTGTAACGCATTCGTTGAGAGATCTTTGTCTTGTCCATTGTCATCGTTATCGAGTTTGAATTAAATGTGTTATGATTCAATGATGCAGTTATTTTTAACCACCTTAGTTGTAAATCACGAGTTTTGTCATTATAGTTGCTTAAAAATAAATATTTCATTTTGACGATAAAAGACACACAATATAAGCCTTCATTTGGCAAATTGAAAGTGTTAGTTTGAGGTTAAATAACTTCATACTTGATAAATTTATTATTAAGCCATGTACTTGGATTCATTAAAAACTATCAGATCTAAAATTGATATCCCTCATGTCCAGTATAACAGCACTTTGAGTCTCAAACGCATGTTCAGGCTGCAATACACACCAAATCACAATGAAAGCTTCAAACAGAAGATCACGGACTTACACGAGCACGGTAGCAAAGCGACAAATCCCCATATCCCAGAGGGAAACAGGAATTACCCCTAAAAAGTGTCATCCTCTGATCCCACAAAGGCACGCGTTCTCCGTGATTCATGCGTCTCACGGCGTGGGTTATCGCAAACGGTTACCATACGAGCAGACGTTAACGGTCTCGAACGAGGAAGAAAGTGCGGTCGAGGCAGAAATTCCAGCGGGAAAGGGATTCCGGGAACAAAGTAGCAAAAGGAATCACGAAGACAGTGGACGGTCGCCTTTTCTTTGCATCGGATTCCTTTTGTCCGTGATTTCGTCCTCTCCATCTGGCTCGTTCGTTTTTGACGTTCGATTCTCGCGTTGCTCTTTCCGCCGCCACCCCCTTTCTCGCCCCGGAAAGTATCGCCGTGCTGGCAGTCTCGTTCGTCTCAGAAAAGCGGTCGAAACTTCTGCGGCCTCCTCCGACGTTAAACAAACCCCCGTAATCGAGGCCGAATCGACGGATTAAGAATCCAATTGGAAATGTCCGCCTACCCCTTATTTCAACCCTCCCACGTTGAAATCCCTTGCAATCCACACCCGTAACGTCGCGAATCCTTCTAACCGCCATTCCGGCACATTCGCGCCGTTAAACCGTTCGCCCATGTTTTTCTGAAATACAGAGACGGGTCGATGGTCGGTGGTGGTGCCGGCAATAAAGTTTGCTTTATTTTTACTACCCCTCTGGCCAAGTACCGCCCCGTATTTCCTCGGGATATTGACATATCGGGGGTGCCGGAGCTTCTCCTCTTAACGCCCTTTTTACACCGCCACGGAATTTATGTCTTCTTCCTACGCGACGATCTAACCCCCTTTCTACCCCAACGATCTACATCTACCGACTCTTTGTCTCGCTTACCTCTGGCCCGCACCCTCCTTTATCTTTACGCTTCTTCCTGTAACTTCGTCCCGCAGATTCCGGACGCGGGAAGAGCACAATCAATCACCGACGCCTATCTTCCCGTTCGCGGAATCGACCGGAAATCTCTATTAGACGTCGAAGCGACGGATTTTTCGGTGACGATCGGTGCAATTGCGGGTAGAGGATTGGTGATGTGAGATAACGCGACAAATTGTTGGGGTGATTGGTAGGGAAATTTCAGAGGGTAATATTGCGGCACTAGGTAATCGTTTCCTGATGAGGATAAAACTTGATCATTTTTACAAGAATATAAATTTGATCATTTTTAGGTGAATATAAATTTGATAATTTTTAGGTGAATATAAATTTGATAATTTTCAGGAGAATATAAATTTGATAATTTTCAGGCGAATATAAATTTGATGACTTTCAGAAGAATATAAATTTGATGACTTTCAGAAGAACGTAAAGATGATTTTTTTAATTGAATGAATTTTATATCCTCAAAATTCTATATGAAAAAGTCCTTGAATTTTTAGAATTATAAAAAATTCAAGACTTCAGCTCAGAAGCTCAACAATTGAAAATTATAAAAACATAGAAACTCGCTAATTAAAAATTCAATAAATAATTTCAGATATTTAAAATAGCAGTCCAACCCTCGAATAAGGTAAAGAACGTTAGGGCAGAGCCATGAATTCTCTGGCGACAAGGGCGCGAAAAGATCCACTTAGCGTTCACTTTGCCGACCGTTAAATTCTAATGAACCGGACGCCGGTCAATTTCACTTAGCCGCCTTCCGGTGGATCGCGATATTCCGATCCGGCGGTGGTCGGCCATCGCGTAATGGCGCTGGATACAGTCGGGTCAGTGCGGTCACCCTTCGAAAGTGTCTAATAATTTTCGTTGAAACGTGCAGCAGCTCGGTCTTTCGCAGCTGCTCAGCATGGACGAAGCCATGGCGCATTACCATGCTAATAGATGAAATGGCGATCGTTGAAAGGTATCTCATTCGGTATCAGCCATGTTAAACATCAATGTCCATCCATATCTTTCATTAAAGATCAACCTCGTTCGTCAGTGAGTTTCAATGACCTTTATGTCGCTTTGCGATGATCATTATGACCCGAGAGTCACTTCATATGTACTTCTATAATTTTTATTCAGTTCTGATATTTATGCAGTATTCATTCTGCAGGGTTGCAAGAGGGTTGGAAGTTTTTATTAAATGGTTATTGAAGTTTGAAAGAGTATGTTGGAAAATTGTTACATCGCTTTATATAAATTATTTGAATAAATATTGTTATATGAGTTATTTCATTTATTAAGCTCATGTAACGTAACCTATAAAATAGCTATGTTCTTTTATCATGTTCATATTAAGCATTTATTGTAATAGAATTATTTAAGTGTAAAATGTTTTTACCTTGCATTGAGTCATTTTAAGAAAGCAATATATAGGTAGAAATTTCTTAAACAATTTTTAAAATTATTTTATATAAATCATTTATTCATACATTTGAAATATATTGTTAAAAACTATAGATGAGTTACTTCATTTATCAACTTCATGTAACATAACCTATAAAATAGCTATGTTACTCTCTCATGTTTATATTTAACATTTATTGTAAT